GGTTCTGTGAGAGTCATGCTTGCGCTATAACAGGCAAAGAGCATATTTTTCAGCTCCAGTGCTGAATTTGGGAAAATTAGAAAGAATTACCTTGACCATGTGTTCTTGTTGATTAATTGGTTAGAAAGAACGAAAACGTGGCGATCCCGTTGCAAAAGCTGTTAGCAGGTCGAGCGCTCTCGATGATTAAAGCAACATTCATTTAATAATGTTTTGACACGTCTTGCAATGATGATATCAGGCATGAGAGCTAGAAGAGGAAAAAAGATATTTTCAGGAAGTTTACTGCCCATCGGGCGAGAAATGCCCATTGGCCGGTTCGCAGATGCCATGGGCATTCATGCAAGGTGAAATTGCAACCATATTGGGTGACGATTTTGAACAATTCAAAAAGGAGCGCGAAGCCAATAATTCTAGTGCTTCATCATTGGTTCAAAACAGTAACAGTCAGGTACGATGCGTGCTTGAAAAAATGTTTAAATACAAAGCAGTAATTTTAGAACGACATAGGTACCACGCCATACTTTCGTCTAGATCAGTTCACTGGTTGAGTAGCAGACACAAGCAAAAGAAACAAAACAAATCTTATAAATGGTTCGGATAATGTAGTTTTTCAGGTCGCTTCAAACCAAAACTCTACGTCGCAACAAGCTTCCCCTCCGTCAACCACGACAAGCATTGCCTCTTCAACTGGTCAAAACGGCAGTGGCCTAAACGTGTCCGCATCACAACATGCCACCTAGGAATGGTTGAAAATGTTTAAGAATCCTGGCTTGTCGATTAAAAGCCAAGAAGTCGCGTGGACACGTACCACGCATAAGAAGTATCCAGACCGCTCAGGCAAGAAAACGAAATAAACTCAGAAGCTGCTAGCAAACAAAGGAAAGCAAAACTCAGGAAACGTTTAGGATGAAAAGTTCTTTCCAAAGATTGTGTATGGGTGTGGAGTATGACAGTTGTAAAAAACGTACTCTGGGACTGCTGGGCATTGGTACTTTCTGAATACTTGAAATAAAATGCGACAAGGAAGCGTACCCAGGTCCCCTGGAAACAGTACCTTAAATTATGCCCTCTTGCATTCTTGGGTCACTGTCAGCACTGTTTACGCCGTAAGACCAGTGGTGAGCGAACAACTCCGTCCGAGTCCGTACCGAATAGCGTCCCAGCCGACTCGCCTGTCTGCTTCTCATGCGATCGACTTCAAAATTGGAATTTCCAAACTCCAGTTCTGAAGCACGCAGAGTGTTGTGTTGAAAATGATTCGCAGATCTACAGATCGCGGACTAGACGCTGAATTACTTGTGGATGTTTACTCTTTATTTGCTTTAATTTATTTGGACTAATGAAGCGGAATGAACACTACGGCATACAACCACATATGCAAGTGTATGAAGCCGCTCACAGTAAGCATTTGGTATTTTCAGTTGTCCGAGAATTCAGAACCAAAATTTCTGGAAACGGAAAAGACACTACAATCCTTGGTAGACCGGTGCAAAGCTTCGAAAATCACAGTGCTTTTCACGAGCAGCCCTCCATAGCAATTTGAAAGGCAAACTTTATAAGATGAGGGGAACTCTGTTATTCTTTGTCTTAATCCAGTTGTTTCTATTGCAAGAAGCCTCTTCCCTTCGAGGCGCTTCTGTGAGCCTCTCATATGTATAATAACTGTTCACATTTTGGAAAATACCCCTCCAGTTCTTTTATGCAAATTTATCATTTTATGCTTTGATCTCGTAATAAATACCACTGAGCAAATATCCGTTCATTTTACCAGCACTAGAAGATCATATTCGAATATCGCTATTGTTAACGGTCAAACGACTTGATTTGTTTGAACGCCACCTACGAATTGCTTGGAACCACTTCCTTTAGCAGATGACCGTGTGAACGACTTTGCACGATGTTGGCCTTCGCGGAAAACAGCTGGCAGTGCGGGACTTTTTGTTTGCAAAGTTATCTAAAATGCAGCTCGTCTCCCGCAACTGTCTTTGCTGCAGTTCCGGTCTGACAGTCCCCATGGCACTTCTTCAAACTCAAATCATCGTCAAACCGCGATTGACCATCAACCTTTCAAAAAAAATACATAATTATCTGAAACATTTTGTTGTTTTGCAAAGAGTTTGCTGGATCACTTTGTTGTTTTGCGAGTACGATTATAATTGTTGCTGCCGGAATAAAGTGCATCGGGTTCATGTTGTAGATGCGAATAAATGCTCCGCCACTTTCCTCAGTTACAACACTGAAAGTTGCAGAAGCACTTCAGGGACTTCACCATGGCTACTGGACAGGCGATAAAGGGGCCATGGTCCTTTATAAATCTGGGGTAAAAATTCGTCCAACGTCAATGTGAAGTGGAGGTTTGCTCGGGCACTATGTAAGGGAAATGTAACAAACAGCTGGAAAGCTGTGTGCATGGACGTATGTACACAGACAACTGGTCTCTGACGGATGCTATTAAGCAGATGGTGAGATGGTTAGAAAGAACTGAAGGAAGGCCCGTAAACTTTCGCACAGTTTATACAACACGGATTAATATTAATTGAATAAATTTATTCCTAACATATAATAGCGCGGCCCGGCCACAGGAGTGGGAAGTGGAGGAAGGAGTGGTCCGCCACTCACCTCAACACAAGTCCTGATAATGTGCTGTCCACACTTTAGGTGCTT